CCCCCCCTCCCACTTCCTCATCCTACCACAGGACGTGTTTATCTTGGACACCAAGCTAGAAGTGTTTGTCTGGATTGGCAAAAAGACCTCGCACAACGAGAAGAAGAACGCCATGGCCTACGCTCATGTGAGTCTCTTGTCCTATCTCACATTTCTGTGACATTTTGGTGAAATCAGGCGCACGTCAAAATAATGGAATTGAAGAAACTGGAATTTTCCCGACCGTTTGCTCATTTAATTTAAAAAAATATTAAAATTTCGACTCAACGCCTTAAAGGTTCATTAAAATATTATATTTATGTGTGGATTTTTACTGACAAGCGATGATTTGGGGCACAAAAATGTAAATATGAGGCAGCATGGTGGAATCAGGCTTTCGTCAAAATAATCAAAGTGAAGAAACTTGCATTTCCGCAGGTTTGTGAATTTTTATCAAATTTTTGTTTTTTGGCTCAGCACCTTTCATGCCCATTAAATAACTAATTTCTGTGTGGATTTTTCTGAAAAGCGTTGATTAAAGGCACAAAAATGTAAATTTTCAGTTACCACGTACTCTTAAGATAAGGAAATAACCAATCTTTGGGTGCCATTTTCTCACTAATTTTACCTCTGAAAACCGGGGACTCCCATCTCCTTCTTTTGCAAATATCTCGACTTGTATTCAAGATAAAAGGATATTTTTTTCCATCCAAATAAAGACTAGTGAATAAGCTTTAAGATGATACCCATAACTCTACATGCCCAAAAATTGACGAGAACCTGATTCCACCACGCTGCCTCACAAATATGCAGTTTCCAAGGATTCTCAAGCTTTGCAAGTTACGAAACATTGGCGGCCATTTTCTCTCAAATCTTACCTCTGAAACCAGCGATCCCACCTCCTTCAATTACAAATATTTCGACTGCTATTCAATCTAGTTGGACATTTTTTTCACCAAACGGAAGACAAATGAACAGGCTCTAAGATGATACCAATTCCATACGCGGCCGATTCCACCAAATCGTGACATATTTGTTTTAGATGTGGGCAAAATCCGGATAATCTGTAAGAATGACCGGATTATTCTCAATGAAACATTTTCCCAGTTCAACTCTTAACTCTCTTTCCTGAGCCCCGTTTGCCGAAGTGGGTGCTCCCATTTGTTGAAGTGATTCTAACCCGTTTGTCGCAGTGGTTCTTACCCATTTGTTGAAGTGATGCTAACCCGTTTGTCGCAGTGGTTCTAACCCATTTGTTGAAGTGATGCTAACCCGTTTGTCGCAGTGGTTCTTACCCATTTGCGGAAGCGGTTCAGAGCATAATATTTGCCGAAAGGGTGCACTAACATATTATCCGGATTTTGTTAAAGCGACTCATTGCCCAGCTCTAATTTGTTTGTGTATGTGTCTCTGTCCTCTGTCTCTTCTGCTTGTGTGTGAGTATTTCTTACTGTGGAAGGTTTTTAAAGGATTCTGTTTTGCACTGTCATACTTAGAGCTTAGAGCCTTCTATGGATTAGGAGCTGTATTATAAATTTCCATGATTGTCGTTGTTCAAGCGCTATCTAGCTGAGAGGAACTTTCTTTGCGTTAAGGCGTCACGGGATGTCCCTCCTACGGGCCACTCGCCTTGCTGCAGACAGACGCCTGTGTCTCCCGGCGACAGGTTTTAAAGGATTTTGTTTTGAACTGTCATGCACAAATTCCCACGATTGTCGTTGTTCAAGCGCTATCTGGCTGAGGGGAACTTTGCGTTATGGCGTCATTGGGAAACTGAACTTAGCCTTGTTTGCTTTGGGTTTTTTTGTACATGTGTGTAGGGATGGGGGACTGAGGGTTAGTATTCTACAGTAATATTGTTCTAAATTGTCACTAACTATCAATTTCTACATGCGGAGAATGAATGAAATACATTATCTCATCTTATCTTTATCTTATCTTATCTTATCTTATCTTGTCTTGTCCTATCTTATTTTATCTTATCCTATCATATTTCATCTAATCTCATCTCACCTCATCTCCTCTCATCTCATCTCATCTCATCTCATCCCATCTCATCTCATCTTATCTCATCCCATCTCATCTCATCTTCCCTTCTCTCTTGTCTCCAGAAATACCTGCAGGAGTCGGACCACCCCCTGGTGTCGGTCAGTTGTCTCCCGGAGGGCCGAGTGGTCAAGGCCTTCGAGTCTGCCCTGGCCGCCTAACTCTCTACAGGGGGAGACAGATCAGTGGAGATGTAGCAGTGGACAGGGAACCATCTCGTTGGAAGAAAAGACCCCCCCCCCTTCCAAAAAAACCCCAACAACAACCCATCTTGCTAAATGATGAATCATCTGACTTAAGGGAAATACATCTCCTATGACAATGTCTTAGAAAGAGAAAAGACACTAAATATTTTACATCTGACTCAAAAGAAATACTTCTGATATGGCAACATCTCAGAAAGATAAAACATCTAACTTAAAGGAAATACATTTCTTATGACAATATCTGAGAAAAACAGAAAACGTTTGGCTTAAAGGAAATACATGTCATATACAATCTCTCAGATGGAAAAAAAATCCATCTGACTTAAAAAAGAAATACATCTCATATGTGAGGCACCGTGGTGGAATCAGGCTCTCGGCAAAATAATTAAAGAAAAGAAACTTGCATATTTCCGTAGATTTGTGAATTTTTATCAAATATTTGTTTTTTGGCTCAACACCTTTGATGCCCATTAAAGAACTCATTTCTGTGTTGATTTTTCTGAAAAACGTTGAATAAAGGCTAAAAAAATGTAAAATTTCAGTTACCA